GTTGTGGTATGGTTTATGTGGCCCAGATCTATTGGTGCCACAACTGGCCCAGATGTAGTCTGGTTTATGTGGCTCAAATTTTTCAGTGCCAAAACTGACCCAGATGTAGTTTGGTTTTTGTGGCCCAAATCTGTCAGTGTCACAACTGATCTGGTTGTGGTATGGTTTATGTGGCCCAGATCTTTTGGTGCAACTGGTCCAGATGTAGTTTGGTTCATGTGGCCCAAATCTGTCAGTGCCACAACTGACCCAGATGAAATTTGGTTTATGTGGCCCAAATCTGTCAGTACCACAATTGGCTTGGTTGTGGTTTGACTTATGTGCTGCTGGACCACCAAAGGACTGGCATTCTTTGTGGAATCTGGGCTAAGTTTTAGAGTRTTAGTGCCTTGTGTGACCAGAACTAGGCCAGACAAATTTGCTATGTGGTTGACAAAGGCAATCAAAAGCTTACAGAATTGATTCTGTCACGTTTGTATTTCTGTGGAGACAACTGCAGATTTTCACGTCTATAAGAATATTTTATACAGTTGTGTGATGGCTCGTTAAATGTTTCAATTTAATCTAAAGGGAGATTATAACCTCCAGYCCTACTTTTGGTGAATTGAAACCCTCTGCGAGAAAATCCATAGAAGTTATTTTGCTAAAGAGAAATAAAGACAGRCTCTGTAATCACCTCTGGCGATCTGCCCACGGCCCATAGTTGAAGTCGGTTCCTTTTCCACAAACAATGTCGAGACCCCAACACGGTGGAAGGTCTTGCAGCTGATCGCCCTCGCTGCTCGTCTCTACCTCCGCTGTGCTCTCCTGCTCCGCAGGGACAAGACCTGGACAAAAGAAAAGACCCAGTGAAATGTCAGACCAGGACAACATTAACAAAAGACACAGAGAAGCTTTGAACTGAAGTAAACATGAAACAAGGCTTGGAACTAAATGATGAAGTTCCATGTGTATTTAAACACGTATGAACCTACCGGGTTCATCTTGGTAATAGTAGATGTCCACATCGTTTGACTGCATCACTACGAAGCCTTCACCCATCAGTCTGGGTGGTCTAGAAAATAAAATAAAATAAAAAAGTAAATAAATAAATAAATAAATAAAGTATTTAAGAGAAGCAGACTCCTTACATTCAGGCAAATAATCAAAGCTCAAATTAAACATTCAGTTTTCAGGAAGACCATCTAGTGTTTCACCTTCAGGAGAGCTACAGTTTATATTCAATAMACAAAAACGTATTTGTAAAGCGACCATTTTTAGAATTTTCTTTTATTCTTTGAATAAACAAGCAGACAAAGAGAGTTCACATGATGAATCCATGCAAATCTAAGACTATTTTAAAAAAAGAATATAAGAGAGCTGCAGTAAATCCAATTTTCTGCAGTCATTCAGCTGTTCTTACAAAATAAGCACTACAGGATAATTTGGAGCCAAGACTGCTGGAATAAGAATCTCTTAAGCTTTTTTCAGACTTCATTCCTAATGATGTTGACACATTTTTAATTGTTCTGGATAATGAAATCCTACATTTTTACACTCTATTCACATTTTGATTTTAATAAGCATTCTTTTTAGAATTTGTGATATAATATTTAGAATTTTAATTAAACTGAGTCTAGAGACTTGAACTCACTCGTCGTTCTGCAAGCCCAGGTAGCGGGGACTCGGCACCAGCATGACACGCACGTTCTCCAGGGAGCCTTTGACGATGTGCATGAACTGGTCCAGGTGGCAGGAGGGGGGCTTGGTCGCGTACGTCAGGAAGGCATCTTCAAAGTTCACGCACAACGTCTGAGGGAGGTGGTGGTTTCCAAACGCCAAACGTCCCTTTGAGACCAAAAATCAAACCCCATTAAAAACGTTCAGTTTCTCAACAGACCCAACAGAACTGCTTTGAGTTTCTGAGATACTTACAGTGCTGATGTTGACTTTGATGACGGGAATCAAGGAGCGCCAAGATGACGTAGGGTCTGGACTCTCTGCTTGGATGTTCACACTTTATTAGGCCAGAAGACAAACACGTTCAGGGTATTAATGATGTGTTTCTTCTTTCTATAAGAAACTTGTGCTCCAAAGGAAATAGCCACCAGATTTGTTGTGTCTGCACTCAGAAACCATTTGAAAACAATATTTTCATCATTCTGAATCACACATATGATCAGTTTTCTATAGCAAATGTTGAGGCTTAGCAGTAACTTTGAGAACAAAAAGTCAGAATAGGGGTCACGAAAACATCTTGTGTAATAT